TGATCACAACTTGTGACTCTAGTGGCTCTAATCAACTCTTAAGAGCTCCAATTGTGGCCCCAGCCTCCCCCATAGTTATGCCCATGCTTTGCAGATGTCACTTGCTGGTCCTTCATTCTCCTGTACAGGCTTCAGCCCCCTTGGCCTCTGCCCACATGTTACTCTGGCAGTGGGCGTCTAACCTGGGCCCGCTTGCTCTGGCCTAGGTTCTTGGCCTCAGCCTCTCTCTTTCTCAGGGCTCAGCCTCTGGGCCCTCGGGGCTTAGACTCTACCCCAGTCTCCCTCTTGTCTCTCTCTCTAGTGCCACTGCCTCAGGAATGGATCAAAACCCAGAGTGCCTCTCGGGCAATCTGCATGGCCTTTTTACCACTCCTACAACCACCATCTGGTCTTCTGGTATTTACTATCTTTACCACAGCAAAACAAAAGAGACAGCCAGTCCAGGTACACAAAAAGCAAACAACAAGATGAACTCAAACTATCCCCACCCTGTGCAAACTTGGAACAAAAAGGAGGCTTCTTTGCCTGCATGCCAGGGCTCCCACTATCCCACTCCAGACTCCACAGCAGCTTGCCTGGGAGGTCATAGAATCATAGAAAGTTATGGTTGGAAAGGATCTCAGGAGGTCATCTAATCCAACCCCCTGCTCTAGCCCCAACTAGATCATCCCAGCCAAGGCTTTGTCTACCCAGGTCTTTAAAATCTCCAAGGGTAGAGATTCCACAACCTCTCTGAGAAAGTTTTTCCTAACATCTAACTTAAACTTCCCTTGCTGCAACTTGAGACCATTGCTCCTTGTTCTGTTATCTGTTGCCACTGAAAACAGTTGAGCCCCATCCTCTTTGCAAACACGCTTCCCACTCTCCTCTTCTCCAAACTAAATGAGCCCAGTTCCCTCAGCCTCTCCTCATAGGTCATGTGGTCCAACCTCCTAACCATTCTTGTTGCCCTCCACTGGACTCTCTCCAATGTGTCTACATCCTTACTATAGCAAGCACCCACCATTATATCATCCTTGTTGCTCTCCCTTCTGATCCTAACCCAGAGACTTTCAAGAGGCCTGTCTCCATTTTCTTACTGGAGCCTTGAGCAATCATACAGCTTTTTTACACAAAGAACAAAACTCCTCTTTCTCTTCTTCCCTGCCTGTAGTTCCTGAACAGTTTATACCCATCCATAGGGTTACCATTCATCCCATTTGGAAATATGGGACATCCCAGACACGGCTTCTATTCTCCCCTCCCTGCTCCCAAGTCAGTGGCCTGCTACAGGGAGAGGCAGAGAAGCATGCTGCGACAGGTAGCCTGCTGAGTCACCTTCCTGGGACTAACTGCAGTCCGAGGTGCCCACTTTCTCTTCCCCACTGGACTGTGCCCTGCAACCAGGACATTCATTTTAATCGTATCCCAGGACCGACCTCCAAAATCTGGGAGGGGCCCAAGAAAAACGTGATGGATGGTCATTGTACCCATCCATGCCAGTGCTCCAGTCGTGCGAGCTCCCACCAAGTCTCTGTTATTCCAATCACATCATAGCTCTGTGACTGTGCAAGGGCTTCCAGTTCTTCCTGCTTGTTTCCCAGGCTCCATGCATTTGTGTACAAACACCTGAAGTAACTACCGATTCCCCTATTTTCTCAGCAAGAATGAGAAGGCCTTCCTGTTGCCCCCTCCTGCTTGTGCTTCCTCCAGGTCACCCACTTCCCCACTTACCACAGGGTCCTCATCCTTTCCCACCCAGGGCTAGAGTGAACTTCCTGGCCTGAAGGCAAGTCTCTTATACTGGTATATCCCTCCCCTTCCAGCCAGTCCAACCTATCATGCAGTGCGAGCCCAGTGTTCTCTCATTGGTCAATTCAGCTCTGCTTGGTTTCAGTGAACTCACAGCAATGATTCTGATGACTGCAGAAACCCTGTTTCCGCCTCCTGTACTGTTTTAGTCTACATTCCCATCCCTTCAGGACACAGAGACTCTACTCTTAAAGGGCCCTCACACGCACTGCTTGTTCCCCAGCCTTCCCAGTAACAAAGTAAGGGGTCCCTGTTACAGAAGTTTCCTGGGCCAGGTACAGACATTACACTTTTACAGCTATAATGGATTGGAAACCAGTCTATACCCATAACGAAGCCGAAGTTTGGCACACAAAAGCAGTTTATACCCATAACAGGACACAAGTTCAGCACACACAAACTGGTTTAAAAATGATGGAATGCTCTAAGATTTGCCTCCCCCACCAAAGGGTGAATGTGTGTTCTGTTCATTACTGATCTACACTACACCACTTACAGAAAACTGCATAACTTAGATTGATTCTGCCTCGGTCTTTTAAATGTCTGTATCTAACTGTGAAGCCCACACTTAAGTCTGTGCCACTACATCTTCAGGGCTACTGACCCTACTACCTCAATCAAACTAATATGAGTGTGCCTGAATGGGCTGCAATCACACCTCTGACTGCAGTGCAAACATAGTCTAAAAGAGCTAAAAAGAGAAACAGGAACAAAAACATCCAAGTTGTTTTGACTACCACCTATGAAATCTCAAGAGAAATCGGACTGAATAATGGGTACGATTAATGTATCTGGAAAGACAAGAGTAGGTCCATATACTGATACATTTAGCATCTCTCTTGCACCTCAGGAACCCCAAACCCAAAGCAAAGAAGATGAGCTAATAATGAAGAGGAGTGCAGTTTAATGTATGTTTTATTGTCACAGTAATCCAAACAATCTAACTGTGTGTGCTACAGCATGCAAAAAAACAGATAATATAATACATCATACTTAATCTGGGGAGATATTTGAGCTATGCAAATGTTTCAGATCTGAATTTAGGCTACAAACAGACATTGCATTTGTCTCAGGGGAAACCATTTTCTCCTGAGACAAAGTGTGATTACTCAGATGTCTAAGCTTGTGGTCTCGGGACAAAGCCTAGAAAGGTTAACAGGAAAGAAAGTGTTAACAGTGTGTCCTGGGACATCATGAAGTGTGTCTGGACAGTTATCCCAGGATCGAATCATTGAATCTAGACCAGAAAAGTGAAAATGCATTCATCCACTCACTAACCCATGATTGGAAGGAGAATGTGTATTGAATCCCGGGACTTCTCCTGGGATAAACTGGCCCCAGGACAAATGCAACGTCTGTTACTAGTCTTACAAGTGTGACTGGTTCTCATGTCTCTCTATGCATTATATACACATATATATACACACACACACACACACACACACACACACACACACACACACATATATATATATATATCAAATAACAAATCCTACATTACTGCAACATTAATTTTTCAGAGCTAAATACACAAAAATTAGGGAATAAAAAAGATTATGTTTCTTATTGCAACATTAACTTATCCACACCACACATACTACTTTATACATGTAAATGGAGCAAATACTGTAATCAAGGTTGAAGGATAAATTTTATTATAACCCTAGGTCCTGGCCTTGCAAAGACTGAGAGTAACTCTAAATAACTGGGCATGCTTATACAGTGCAATATAAGTGTGTTTAGGACTGGATCACAGAATACAAACCAGAATTTTATGACAAAAACGCTTTCTTGCAGCTGAATTTCCTATGTTTGTTTTCAGCCAAAAGATGGATATTTGATAGAAATTAAAAAACAAAACCAAACCTTTTTCTCACATTTCCGAGTGATATGAGAAGTAAAAAAAAATAAAAAATGCTCCAGGTATATTGTTTGTTTGTGCTGGTATATGGATAGCTCAAGGTTAGCTGAATGCCCAAAGCACAACTTAGCATGGTCTATCTGACAACTCCTACTAAGGGCAAAGGAAGTTCCATAAGAGGTCTTAGGCATGTAGGTTGTAGCCGTGTTGGTCTAAGGACATAGGCAGACAAGGTTTAGACCTAAGAGGTCTTAGGTCACTTTTAGGTTCCCTAAGAGGTCTTAGGGTGGGGAGGGGCTTTAATTAGAGTGACTCTGAGAGCTGCTGTAATTAAAGCACAGCAGCATCTCACGTATTAGCATTCCCGTGCTTCAAAAGAGTGGTGGAGGCACTTGAACCAAAACTCATTCAACAAGCTTTGGTTCAAGTGCTCCCACTGCCATATTGAAGCATGGGGTTGCTAATACATGATCTGCAGAAGCTGGTTGGAGTACAGTAATTACCACACTGCAGCAGACTCAATTAATCGGAGCAGTTCCACAGCATGTCTACGAGCACCCTGAGGAACTGGGCCCCAAAGATCTCAAGCAGCACATCTGGAAAACCCTTGATGTCCTTGTAAAAAGTCATTTACAATTAAGGAGTAGTTTGTGATTTTACAAAACTACAGGCACATTTGTCTATGGGGTTTGTCTCTCAAACTGCCTGTGGCACTAGTGAGCCATGGAAAAACAAAACAAACAAAAACTGAAAGAAACCCCCTGATATTTGTCATCTGAGCCCATGTTTCCCAGCCTGACACCTAAAATTAAACTCTTAATTCCATACGCTAGGCCTAAGGTGTGCCTCTTGCTATTCCCTTCCATAAGGATGCTCTGCAGTTTGGTATATGTCTACCTCTGACCTGTTGCCAAAGGTTGCATTTTTTTATATTTCTCCTAAGTCTGTAAGTAACAGGGAGAAAAAAAAAAAATCTAAACCCACACAGTGACTCTTCCTGAGTGAATATGAGCCATATGTAAAATGCATTTGGTTTTGATTAACCTATGTGTGTGGATGTGTGTGTGTGGATTCTTTTCTCCTGTGTACATAGACCCTGCCTTGGGTAACTCAAAAAAATGTCTGAATGGATCTTCTCCCATTTTTGAGAATTTTTTTAACATCTTTAAATTGGGAGTTTCTGCTTCAAATTATCCTGGAAACCAGGGAATGATAAAGTTATCCTGTAACCTTGACTAAGGAATTTGCTGCCACAGTAGCTAGAGCAATCAGATTCACAGATATAAGAACAGCATGGCAGACATTCAGTCAAATAACTTGACACATTTATTAAAAACACTAGAAGTACCTGGACATAGGCCCTGCAAGAGCGCTCCCTTTTCTGAAGCTGAATCCAGAAAGACAGCGGATTAAAGACGGAATAGAAAAAACAAGTTAGTGACAGAAGAAAACTAGAAACACATTAAAGAAAATACCCTGTACAAAAACCTCATTTCTCTTTTGATCAGCTTCTAGGGGGAAAAAACATGCAAGCTAAGCAGCCATGGAGTGCTGTAAGGACTGGCTTGAGAAACAGCTGGTTAGTTCTTTTCAGAAAAGCAAAGACTGGAAGCTATGCTACAGCAGCTGTTAGTTATGGCAGGAGATACTGAGATGAACTGTAACTCTTTAGTAGATTAAATTTACCTTGCAAATTTGTATTGTGCGTTGCATTCCTCATCAAACCATGCCAGAGAAGATGGAGCTGATCCTCATGTAGAACAAGGGTGGGGAGATACAGTGACCAGAACATGATTACAGTACCCAGAGGAAAAGCCAAGGGAACTTTTATCTGATCAGCTCCTGCACCAAGAGCAAAGAAGCCACAGCAGCACGATCCCTTGGAAAAACTGTACAAGCCTGCCCACATCTGTGACCCACACACAGATGGTTCACCTATACTTAACCCTGAATTGCTGGACTTTGCTTGCTATTGGTACCTGACCTAATTAGAGTAAATCTACTGCCTACTGGTGCTGCAATCATCCCACTGACTGTGATGCAGACATATTATGAAACCATATCTGCACTACTGTCGACCATGCCAGGGGGTGCTAGAGTGACTACAAGAAAGCTCCCTACACACAACCTCCCCCTGTGTAGCTGATTGGTTTAATCCTGTTTATTGTCATGTACCCATCTCTGCTCTAAGACAGCTACAGAGTATCTTTTTTGGGGTGCAAAGTGGACATGCTTTGGCATGCTCCACTGACATTGTAGATATGCTCATTACGTCCCACTGAGGACACTTTACATTCCTTTAATTAAACTGCTTCTGTAAGGTCTGATTATGCACCCCTTTCTCATGCTGGCTCAAGCCTCCCACTGTAACCAATGGGGCTACATGCATAAGCACATGCCTTACACATTCTGAGTGGCATTTACATAGAGAGAACCTACTGATTATTAGGATCCTAATTCAGGTAAGCATGCTGGTGTGCACACACTCCTAGCAGGTTACATTTCAGTATGTGCTTATAAACTGGGTCTTAAACATATACTGAAAAATTGTCCTGTATTGGGACCCAGAACAGGATTTGCTCAATGCAGCAAAGGGTTGGCCTACATTGTACTTAAGTGCACCTTGCACTGATATACTTATGATACCTTTAAATGCACTAGCTTAAGTACTGTTAGCAGTGCAGCAGTTTAGCCTGGGCTGGGAAACCTCCCTGTGAAGCTGAGTTACTACCCCGTAACTTACCCTGATCAGAGTGCTACTCCTAGCAGTGCTCAATTTTGACACCACTGTATTTACCTGAATCCAACGTGACTCTGAATTTAAGATACCCCTCCGCTCCCCCCATAATGAGATTCTAGACATGGAAATGGCTATGTCTGTTATAATTTTCCATGTATACAATCTAATTATTGGAGGGTCATCTTAAGTTGCAGTGAGGAAAGCAGTTGTAGGGGGGAGGTAGTAGGCGTGCAGGCAATAAGGGGGCAAACAATGGTAGAGGAGTCAAGTAGCCTGATCCCTACACCTTGCCCCCTTTACACTTTGACCCCTACCACCTGTGTCCTTCACCACTTGTCCTCCTGCTGCCTGCATGCCTCAGCACCTGTTCTCCCACAGTGCCTGTTCCCTGACACCTCCCTGCTACTTGCCTCCAACCTGGTTATGACCCCCTGCTGCCTGTCCCCCCCCACCCCCCCACTGTCTCTGCCCCCTGCCCCTCCCCGCGCCACTTACCCTCTAGCTGCAACTTGGCTCCATCCCTGAGACAGCCTGGGGCACAGAGTGTGTAGTTGCTCCAAACCCAGCCATGTTATGCAACAGCTGCTGAAGTGGTTGTGACAGCTCCAGTTGAGCCCCACTACCAGAGCCCAGATGCGAACTGCTGCCACTGTTGCATATGAAGTAAGGCAAGCTGGAGCAGGGATGAGCCCCACCAGAGCTGGAGGGTAGGTGGCAGCAGTGTGTGGGGGCCAGGTGCACACTGGGATGGGTGATAGCTGTGATTCTGACCCCAACCCAGGGCCAGGCCTGGGGCTGGGGCCGAGGCCAAAACTATAGCAGCCTCCCAGCCACCTTGTACTCAAATCCAAAACCAGGGGCTTTTTCCCCCCATGTTAAATTGGGCCTCATCTGGGATTTAAGTAAATATGGTAATTCACGTTTTTTTACTTGAGCTGTAATGATGGCTGTAAGTGCAGTATAGACGCACCTTAAGCATATGATGTAAATTCAGGCCTCTCAAATCATGCTGCTGCAGGTGTCATCCTTGCTGATGTATGTCAGTATGAATTTTGCATTAAGAGACCTTGCATAGATTCACTCTCAGCTCAACTCACATTTCTTATGGCACTAGGGCAACTGAGAGCAAAATATAGCCCCTGAGGTTTTGCAGAACTCAAAAAAAAAAAAATCAGACTCAAGTCTAATGTATAGCTTAATTCTAATGGGCACATGTCCAATGCCTGCCCCGATGTGTTCTAATTAGAATGCATCGGAGAAGACTCGATTAATCAAGTCTGTTGGAGCATGCTCATTAGCTCACTCCAGCAGCCTCAGTGTTACTTGTATTCAGTGTCCCCATGTTTCAAAAGGGCGGCGAGAGTGTTTTAACTAAAGCTTGTGGGACAAGCTTTAGTTAAAGCGCTTGCGCCGCTATTTTGACGCACAGGATGCTGAATACATGAGACAGTGTGGGCGCTTTAATTAGAGCAGCTCCCGCCCACCCCGAGCACATGTGAAGATGCCCTATGTTTCACAGCAATATTTTAACAGAAACAATCTTCCCTAGTATAGACCAGGCCAAACTAGACTTTACAGAAACAAGGATAGATCAAAGAAAGCCATGCTACTAATTTCATTATTATCCATGTGGGAGGCTCTGCTAATTTGCAATGCTACTTGAACAATTATTACAGTAACTAGGCCTGATCCTGATGTAAACCTCAAGCTTCTAGTGAAAGAAAGGTTGCTGATGAAAGGATGGCTTTTCCATTATTGCTCCAATTTATTTCAATTCATTTTATACCAACTTGCAGAAAAAATAAGAGCACAGAGGTCAAGGGCTGAGCCAAGTCCCTTCTGTGTCCCTCACATGTTTCCTCTAATGCTCAGAAAAATGTGTGATGGTTGGTGCATGCATTTTTTTTCTTTCTGACTAAATAAAACAAAAACAAAACTCTTTACAAATTACATTTTTTTTTCTGACATGCTCTTGATCAGCGAAGGGGAAGGGGGAATGAGGAGGCTGCTGCCTTTTGTTTGCACAACGCTACTTCCAGCTTTAATGCATGCATTCTTAAATAAGCACAGAGCAGTTGCTCCACTAAGGAATTAAGTGGGGAATGAGAGCAAGTAAATTACTGAGCCTGTCATTTGGATCAGTGATTCGCATCGCTGTTTTGCAGGACTCCACACACTCCAGAATTTTAATGTGAAGCACAATTGATTTGTACTAGTTGACTGTGCAAACCTGAGGTGGGGGGGGGGGGGAT